TGGGTCGAGTTAGGTGAATGGATCACTAAATGGTTTAAATGGTATTTTTATTTTTTAAAAATTTTGGTTTGTTATATAAATAATTAATATCAATAAATTTTAATTAAAAAATAATTTAATAGATTGAGTGATTTTTTTAGGAAAGAGTGGATAGTTGAGTGACTTTTGAATTAAAATTCAAAGTTGAGTGACTTTCTGAGAAAGAAGTGCATAGTTGAGTGACTTTTGAGTGAAAATTGAAAGTTGAGTGTCTTTCTAAGAGAAGAGTGCATAGTTGAGTGACCATCTGAGGTATTAACTCCATATACACGAGATCAAAAATTAGGTGTAACTTGTTCTAGTACAGTGTATCCAAATTTACACGATTGATCTCTCACCTGCCTCTCTCCTATCTCGCTCCCCTTTTACATGATATCTAGATACGTTTATCTAGTTTAATTTGCATGTATCTGAAAATATCACTTGCCTTCCTCCTATATCTCACTTGCCTCTCTCCTCTTTCGCTATTTTAGTGAATTTAATAGTAAAAATACGTATAGTTTTAGATATATCTAACTTAAAATCTGATATGAAATTATGAATTAGTGAAACAATATGTAATTATTTTAAATAATAGAGAGAATTACTAAATAATAAATATGATAGGAATGTTCGTCTAATTAGATAGTAATCCAAATTAGAATTGTTTTTTGAAATTTCTTTTGGAGAGGGGTATGCTGTTGGGTACTAAACTCTAAATCTTTTTGGGCCCTGCAATGGGCCAGAGTCCAGAAGTGTCTTTGAACTTGGTCGGCCCAGTCTAGTCTTACGCTTTGGTTGAAATTTAGGAAAAAACAAGTAGACCTAAATAAGTCTAAATCGACTATATATATATCTTTTTCGATTTAAATGTGAAACTCTATCTTACTATGTTGGAGTTCTAATTAACCCAATGTTAAAAACAAAATTTAATGTTGAAATATTTATGACTAGGCTTGTTCGAACGCAAAAACACAATCATGAAGTTTCAAACTTTTAACTCCAAAACATAATCCTTAAATTTAAAAAGGGGTACCATGAATAAGTTAATCATTTTCACCTACATGTTTCTCTCATGTTAGATATTTTAACATTTGAACTCGATATATTTTAATTTAATAGATACATAAAGAACGGAAAAAGAATTTTTAAATATTGTGATGTAGTTTTAAACTTAAGATATACTCCATCCGTTTCAAAAAGAATTATCTCTTTCTTTTTTTGGTAAAATTTAAATTTCAACTTTCCACATGACATGTTTAAGGCCACAAAATCAAAGGATAGTTATGTACATTTGACCTAACTTTAAATTAGGATCACGAGATTCAAAAATCTTTTTTATATTTTTAAAATCCGTATCAAGTCAAATCAAGTCATTTTTTATAATATGAAAGGAGTATATATTATGTAATATACGAAAATGCCCTTTTAAAGCTTCTTGTCTTAAATATACCATGTAGAATCTTGAACTTAAAGCATTACCTTTGATATAGAAGAGAATTTCATTAAAAACAAACTAAAAATTGAAAAAAGGACACTTAAACATAAATAATGGTATCTATCTCAAACGGCATGAAAAATTGTAGAATTCGAATCAAAACTTTAGCATTTAAAAAGTTTGAACTTTAACAAAATCGTTTTATCTTATTATTTTCGTATTAAAACTACCTACTTCTTAATACTATAATTAAACTTTTAACTCGTAACTTATAAATTGAGCAACCCAACTAATCTTTCCCCAAGTTGTGGCCTATGGGCTAAGTCTTTAATTGACCAGCTGAACCTGCCAAGTCTTTAATTGGACGCATGCCAATGCTTTTTCTTGAAAATTGTTAGTTGTTGGAGTTTCTCTAGAACATTTGCAAATCTATCCTTAATCAAGTCAGTATATACTACTTTTTATCAAATTATTTTTCATTATCGTTAGACAACTATTTTTAATTATCGTTTTAATTTTTTTCATGAAAAACAATAAATAATTAATTAGGAATCAAAAGTAGTTTACTAAGTTATCCACATTTAACAAAGCAGATTGAAATAAAAAATTCACTTAAATATTATGCATACTTTCTTGAGCAATCATTTCTTTAGAAGAATATCAATTTCCAACACTCATATACTTCGCACATGTTTATCGAATTTAAAGTGTATTCAACTTTGAAAACCTCATGATATTAAAAGTGTAATTGAAAACAATTGTTAATTCTTATCTTAAATTTCTAAAATAACATTTATTATGAGATAATTTTTTAAAATTATAACGATTTCAGAGATATAATAAATATTAGTAAAATGAGTTGAATGCAATTGTGCATATCTATGGAGGAAAGAATGGTTGTGTATTGGTCGGTTCGGTTCGGTTTTGAAGTTTATCGGATTGTCTTATTGATTATTGGTTTGTAGAGATGCTGAACCGTTGACTTATCGATTATTGGTTTATCGGTTTTTCATCATTATCGATTTAACAATTAAGATTTGACACAAAAGAAAAAACATTAAAAGTCACTTAGAGACAAGGTGACAAACCAAATAAACCATGCACTTAAGTTCACAAGTTCTTGATCAAAAGCAAACACTTTTACATTGTTGAATAACCAAGTGTTTGAGACAATAAAAAATAAAAGTAGGAAATTAAAATCTAAGTCGAGGACTTTATATACAAAATGGTATAAATATTATTCTTTAATTTACTATCGGATTATCGATTAACCCGTTAAGAAAAAACTTCAAATCGTTAAAAATTAATAACCGAATAAGAAAAAAATCAAAACCGTTATTAAAATCACTAAACCAATAACCTAATACTATAAACTAATAATTTTTTTATCACTTCGATTTGATTTTTAACAAGCCCTAGATGGAAAGATGGAAGTACATAGATTCTCCACGACCATTTTCATATTGTAAACAAAATTGTGGCAGAAAAAGACCCTTTGGAAATCCATCAACAAATCTCAATCACCAATTTCCTCTTCTCATCTTATCTTTTTCTTTGAATATCTCTTACTATCATTTTCCACCAATCATTTTATTTCACTATCTTTTTCTATACATATGCTAAGATATTATTAGGACATTTTTTTTCCATCTATTACTAAAAAAAAAACATTAATAGTTAAATAAATTAAAAATGGGAGAACAAACAAATTGAGACACGTTACACCACTAATAATTTGAAAAAATAAAAAAATAATTTTATAAAATATCTCTTGTATTTTCTTCACGAAATTTCTGTATTAGTTATATATTGATCTTTTACATATACAAAAAAATAAATAAATACAATTTAACTAAAATATATAATTGATATAAGAGATTAGAAAATGTTTTTTTTTCTCAAGAAAATGGCAATTAATGTGTGACGATTAGAGGCAACTTTACTTTAAGTGTTTCATTGGCTAAAATCAAGATAATGTTTCTAATCTTATTAGTATTGCATGTTTAACTAACTCACTTTTGTTTTATTAGGTATTTGCTTCTTTAATTCGATTTAGTCTATCTTATGTCATATTTTTATTTTTGAGAGTATACAAGGTTTAATTAATATAAGAAGAATTGTTATATATATAATAGTTTTTGAATATTTAGATTTGTAACTTAAATCTTAGATTATTCTACTTTAAATTAATTTAATAGATTAATCAAATGAATTTAAAAAAAATAAAGTTTGTGAAACTTTGTAAGTAAGTGATATAAATAAATTAACTCCTACTAAGTCTATACGAATTAGAAAAGAGCATATTGATTGGAACAAACTAACAAGATTAATCAAATGTTTGGAAGTTCATTCCACCTTTTCCTTTCTCACCACACATAAAATAAAATATAAAATTAAAAACACAATTAAAAAAAATAAAATATAAATCATAAACCCCCAACAAAGTTTCCTAATGTAGTGTAAATTTCGACAATTAATAAAGTGAGTTGAAAATTATAATATATAGATTAATAAACACTAATTTTTTATTCATTTAAATTAAAATATTAGATATCGTAAAATTAAATGAGATACTCAGTTACGATTATTATTATTATTATAGAAAAAAAGCACATAAATTTAATGGTGGATAGGAGTTAAGTGAGTGTGGATAAAACGTGGAATGCACAGCCAATCAGAAATTAGAGAAATCCTCAAAAAGCTTTATTGTCAATACTTGCCCTACCAAACACAAAAATTACAAATTATTTTCAAGAAAATAATACAAACTGAAGAAAACACTCAAAGGCACAAAATTTTCCCCCTTTGAACGCCACACGCCTTCCACCATTGTTGACCACAGAGCTCCTAAAACCCCCAATTCATATCTCCTTCCAACAATACAAATTTAGGGTTAGGGTTTTTGGGAGCTCGAATTTGTTGTGAACAAAATGGCTATTCCAACCGCATTTTCTGGGCCCAAGCTTGAGTCTTTATCATCATCGGCTGCGGCGGCTTCTCCGGCGTCAATTGGGTTGTTTTGCAATCCGGGTCGGGTTAGAAGGCTGTCAATTCAAAAGGGTTTGTTCAATTCAGGGATCAGGTGTGAAGTTGCAGCATCTGATGTTGTGGATCAGAGTCAGAGTTCTGGAAATGTGACGTCTTCTTCTAGCCTTTCTGCTCTTGAGCAGCTTAAGAGCTCAGCTGCTGACAGTATGTGTTTAATTTGTGTAAAGTTTTTTTTATTCACTTTGATATATGATTATTTTGAGAATTTGGATAACATTTTGCAGTTAATTGTGTTTTTGTTTTTACTATGTAATTGTTGATTGATTGATTTTTATTTTTCATATTAACTCTGGTGATATGATTCTTTAGCAGCTCAGTGATTCTGTTTTATTAATGAGCTGAAGATGTTCTAGCTGCTGCATCCTTCATTAGCTCCATATCAATTTATCTTATTTTCTGTTCTTTTGTTCTTGGAGTAGTTTCTCCTAATTGATCAAGGCTTCTTCTTTACATTGTCTTATAGTTGAAGATCATGTGGTGGAATTATGGTGTTTAGTCAATTCCTTGTCTAGTGAGGATATTGTTATCTTACTAGTTTTTTCACATAGGTTCAGGCCGGAAGTCGTTTGTGCTTATGCTGCTTCCCTGCTGCATGATAGATTGGAACATTATCATTAACTAGATACTGTAACTATATAATGGTTATCGGGCTACTTTGCCTACCAAGGCTTAGGAAAATGGAAGAAATCACTTAGCTTTTTTTTTACTCTTGCCTTGGCTGATAGGGTGCGGAGTTGGACCTCGTGTTTCTGTTGTATAATGGTTATCGGGTAACTCTGCCTGCCAAGGCTAGACAAATGGAAAAAATTACCTAGTTCTTTTTTCCATTTGCGGCTAGTGTGCGAGAAGTTGGAATCATATTCTTGCATCCTGACCAAATATTTGATAGTTGCCTGGCCTATCCTGGTTGCAGACTTTGCATGTGGTGCAGTAGTATCAGTCCTTACAGTTCTTGATGATTTGACAACATAGACAATGTGATATCTTCTTGTATTAATATATAACATTGTTGTGCTGGTCATGGTTGTAAATATAAGTAAAGATTACTCACTATTGCAAATGTCAAATATAATGAGTTTCTCCCTTGTTTAATATAAATCAGTGTACGCTCAGTAAGAAGCATTTTTTTAAAAATCTTAATATGCTTCAGGATATACCAAGGAGAGGAGCAGTATCGTTGTCATTGGGCTCAGTATCCACACTACGCCTGTTGAAGTACGTGAAAAACTGGCTATTCCTGAAGCAGAGTGGCCGAGAGCCATTGGGGAGCTCTGCAATTTGAATCATATTGAAGAAGCTGCAGTTCTTAGTACCTGTAACAGGATGGAGATCTATGTTGTGGCTCTTTCCCAACATCGTGGCGTAAAAGAAGTTACCGAGTGGATGTCAAAGGTATTCTTTTCCCTTGAACTGTGTAGGTGATGGTGTAGCTTTATCATCTGCTATCTTTTACTTTGGATTGTGATTAGAAAAAGAAAAGTTCAATTATACATTCTTATTTTCTTGGTGAGAAGGAGATATCATTATGAGCTGCATATCCTACTCGTTGTTCTAATAAAACCTAAAACAGAACTTGCTGAATGTCTCTTTTGAAAAGATCGTAGCTTCTGTATTTACATCATATTTGCAACATTGTGGTTCTTTGCTCAGAATCATGAAATTTTCATTCATCGCAACAGATATAACCATCAAATTGATTAACAGTTGTCCTTTTCTTTTGCAGACAAGTGGAGTCCCGGTTACAGAAATTTGTAAGCACCGTTTTTTACTGTATAATAATGATGCGACACAGCACATCTTTGAAGTATCAGCTGGGCTAGACTCGTTGGTCTTAGGGGAAGGTCAAATCCTTGCTCAAGTTAAGCAAGTTGTCAAGGTTGGTCAAGGAGTTACAGGCTTTGGAAGAAACATTAGTGGACTATTCAAGCATGCAATCACAGTCGGAAAGAGGGTTAGAACTGAAACAAACATTGCAGCAGGCGCAGTTTCTGTAAGTTCAGCTGCTGTGGAGTTGGCTCTGATGAAGCTTCCTGAATCCTGCCACACTACTGCTAGGATGCTAGTTATTGGAGCAGGCAAGATGGGGAAACTTGTGATTAAGCACTTGGTAGCCAAGGGATGCACAACGATGGTTGTTGTAAACAGAAGCGAGGATAGAGTTTCTGCCATTCGTGAAGAAATGAAAGATGTCGAGATAATCTACAAGCCCCTCAATGAAATGCTTAAATGTGCTGCTAAAGCTGATGTTATTTTCACGAGCACTGCATCAGAAACGCCACTGTTTATGAAAGAACATGTTGTGGATCTTCCACCTGTTAGTGCAAGTGTTGGAAGTTTAAGGCTTTTCATTGACATCTCAGTTCCTAGGAATGTTGGTGCTTGTGTGAATGAGCTAGAGGACGCACGGGTGTACAATGTAGATGATCTAAAAGAGGTTGTGGCAGCTAATAAGGAGGACCGTCTTCGTAAAGCTATGGAAGCTCAAGCAATCATTTCTGAAGAATCCAAACAATTTGAAGCTTGGAGGGATTCACTGGAGACTGTTCCCACCATCAAGAAACTGAGGGCTTATGCAGAAAGAATAAGGGTTGCTGAACTGGACAAGTGCATGTCCAAAATGGGTGATGATATCTCAAAGAAGACAAAGAAGGCTGTTGATGATCTTAGTCGTGGAATAGTTAACAAGCTCCTTCATGGTCCCATGCAACACCTAAGATGTGATGGGAGTGACAGCCGCACATTGAGTGAGACCCTTGAGAATATGCATGCTCTAAATAGGATGTTCAGCCTTGAGACAGATATATCTGTATTGGAACAGAAAATCCGAGCTAAAGTGGAGCAAACTCAAAAATAAGGTGAATCTCTCAAGCTTTTTTCATTGAAAATTCTCTCAGAGCCTCAACTGAATAAGAGGAAGAATTCCTCAATTGTACTTTCTGTTGGTGGTACTGCAAATTCTCATTGAAATACATAGTCAGGATATGATCCCTTACCGAGATCTTTCCTGTTGATTTAATTTTGTCAAAGATATATGCAAACCTCTGATTGTCTATTCCTCTTGTGTCTTAAGAGTACATTTTGTATGTAGCTGTTCTATCGATGTTATTAGCTGAAGTTATATCCTTGTAATGAGTGATTCATGGGAGAGATCCATATACTCCTTCCACAAACAGTTCTAGCCTTGTAACATATTCACTGATTCATTTACTTTATGATTATTATGTTGATGTATTAATTTCATTCGACTTGTTCTCCCTTCACTTTGTAACCCTGCAACGTAATTGTTAAATGCAACAATATTGATTACTGTAATGCTGCTCTGTTCTCTTTCACATATCAGAATTCATGATAACAAAGATAGTGTGCTGTAAGACAGCTTGGTCTTAGATTATTGTTTCTCTACTTTATTTGCCTCAGATATTAAAGTAGTTGGTATAACTGTTGATACCCTAACGATTTTGCATAGCAGGTAGAACATAAAAGGGTCAAGTAGGTTTTGGTGTACCAAAACTAGGGAAGAATATTGAAAAGTTGAACTAGAACTTTGTCAAATTTGTTAGCCAAGATGACCTTCTGTTCTTTGCATATCAAACCTACAGAACTAAACTTTCTAGAGAAAACTTTGAATGGTGGTCCTGTTGAGTCCCCATGTCAGTACTTTAACGATGGGATGGTCTCTTTTTATGATCTGGGGCAATCCTTATCTCACGAGTTAGCTTTTGAGCTTAAGTTAAACTCATTAATTTGTTTTTAATCGGATCCTCCCTAAGGTCAGTCTAATATCTGAAAATGCAGAGCTCCATTTACTCAGTACTGTTATTAGAGTTAGGAGCTTACTATATAGCATGAATCTTACTCTTCTGGCTATGACTAAATGGTCAGATTATACACGAAAATGAGCTCTTATAAATCTTTTACTTCACTTGCATAGAAAACTCTAATATAGGCATCTGGGCGCCAATATTTGGTTGAACTTGAAAGAAAGAATACTTAAGTCAAAGTTTTAAAGAGTACTTTCGAAGTTGAGTTGTATATATATATACATGTATTTCACGTGAAGAAAAGAAAATCGGAGATATATTAGTAAAAACCATCAATTCACTCGAGATAGTGTAATTCCACGAGTGGAGTCTGGAGATACTCTTCAAGCAAGTTTTCAATATATAATAGATACTAAAGTTCAGCATTTACAAATACTCATGAGTCATGTCTAATACAGTTGCAACAGAGTGGAGCTAGCTCGTAACTTTGGTTCTAACTTTTGAGTTACTCAAAAAAAAAAAAAACTGAACTCATTAGCTTTAAATCCTAGCTCTGCCGCTTTGCAAAGTATTGAAATATTATCTATGGGTTAACCCATAGGGTATGAAAAGGATAGCTGCCAAGCCATGAATAAGAGAGTATACGCATTTCAAAGACATCATCAGTTCCAAAGTCATCAATAATGAACCTCACCCACCCCCACTCTTTTGTCAACACATTAATTTGTCTGTTCATTTAAGTTGTGTCCTTTTTCTGGTTTGTATAATAGTCCAGCTAGGGTATACTTGTCAAGTTCACTAACATTAGATAAGACACCTGATACCTGAAATTACTAGTGAGAGGTGAAAAGTATCTTGCGAAATCAGGTGTATACAAAAGTTGACCTGAATATCACAGTCATAATAGTAAAATAAGTTCACGAACATTAGACACATTCCAGTTAATCCCACATACATTTACCCACAAACAAGTGTAGATGGTCATTAAGATATGAAAAATGACATTATTAATACCATAAAAAAAGAAATAGACAAAATAATAATATACCACTATGTTATCTTATTTAATGTGCAAAAAATGAAGAATAGGATAAGCTTTCATGTCTGTGAAGGATCAAGTAAAATCTTGACAAGACAGTTAACAATATATACTAAAAAGCTATCTTGAACTTTTCACTTTGCTTGCTTCATAGATAAAACTTCGAGTGTAACAATTTTGACCTCAGAGATTTGATCTAGGGCAAGCGAGGGCCGAAAGTTTAAAATCACCCATTTTCAAGGGTTATGAGGTGTAATTTTTTGGGCTTTCTTTGTGAAGTTGTGAATTTCAAAATTTAAAAATGTCACGCTTGAAATTTAGATCGCGCATCAAAATCAAACGTCTACGGTAGAAACTAACCTTCCCTATATAGATTATGTAGACCACTATTTTTTCAACTAAACAAGAATGTGGTCCCAATTAAATCACATGAATAAATTTTACAATAAGCCATATTTATACAGGCTTTATTCATTATCACTCTTTGCATGCATCAATTATTGGTAAAACTTAGGTTAAAATGTAGTATGATAAAACTCTGAGACTTTAGGTCATTTATCTTCTTTGTCCAATTCATTGTTTTTGCACTTAGCACATTGGGCTTAGGTGTTGAAATGGGTCCAAAAAATTGCAGAATATGAGTCATTTTGTTTTTTTGGTAGTATTAGGTAAAATAATTTAAAACTCACTGACATTTTTTTAAAAAAAAAATCTTTTTGTGCAAATGTACACCAACTTATGTAGTTGTTCATCAAGAGTACAATTATTTTGTTCCAAAATATTATTCCTTAAAATTATTGTTACACCACCTACTGCTACAGGTAGAATCATTTTTTATCTTTTAGGAATATCCAATTATTGTGAGCTGATAAAAGTTAGTTACTAATTGATATAATTATCCAATTATTCTACTTTTAACTCATTATTAGTTGCCTCCTTTATTTAATTTATACTAGTAGTTGTTTCTAGCTATAATCATTAGTACTGTTTAAACTAAGTTCAAAAGTACCTAGTGATTCTTTTTTTTTTAAAAAAAAAAAATTAAACTAGAAAGTTGAAACACTAAAGAAAATGGAAGAAAAGGCTAATAATAGAATAGGTTCAATCATATTATAATTTATCAAAACTTTAGGATAAACCTAGAGCTAGTAACTAATAATAAAAGTTTTACATACTTTACCATCTTTATTGTAACACAATTGCTGAAACTCAAGCAATCATGCCCATCACTTGTTCTTTAATATATATATATATATATATATATATATATATATATATATATATATATATATGAAAAAATCTTTTTGACCAGAAAAAAAATTTGGTCAGAATAATAATTTTTCTATGTTAATTCACCTTTTTAAATATTTTTATCCTTTTAACTTTAATATAGTCTAACTAAAGAATGGGAAAAAAAATTAATTTTTTTAAAAAAAGAAAAATATTATAATTTTTTTAATTTTCTGATCAAATTTTCTGGCGATTTAGCACTTCCATATATATATAGTGAATAAAAATAGATGAGTTTTACAAATAGCCGCTTTTCACCACATGCAATTAAAAATACAAACCATCCTAGAGCTGAAATTTCGAAACAATGATTATTTTTTTAAATACAGACTCGAACATGGCTAATAAACGATATTTCTATGCCAAACAGTAAAAACAAAATATCTAATCATTTTCTCCGATTTACCATTCAAATATTCAAAACTTATAATCGACCTGAATAATGCAAATTCACGATTCATAAAAACCTACTTGAACGGAAAACATATTCCATAACATAAGCTTCTTTGTTCCGAAAACTTTGATTTAATCGGTATATAACATATTAAAACATCGAAAGAATGCCTCATTGACATATCCACCAAAGAATCAAATAATATTTTTATGAATTACAAGTAGAACAAAACATTGAAGAGATTGAAAAGAAGTTTGGGAAATGGAATTTTTCGATTTTGAAAATGTAACGTAGAATTTGGCCCCCTTTTCAAACTATATTTAATTTCACATATTGTCACTTTGTGTTAGTACGTAGTAAATTGAGAAGCATCTTTCATGTCTACTTGTCTTTGTACAACAAAAATAAAACAGATAGGTCCTTCAAATTTCATCTCAAACTTATATGAATGACCAAAAAAGTCACGTTATTCACACATTAAGCAAAAAAATATGACTTTTGATAGTCTAAGATGTGGAACTTTGTAAACCTCTTAATAAAAATCATAGTATATAATACTATAACAAAAATAGTTTTTAACGACAGTATATATGCACATGAACAAATAATGTTATTGGTATTAATTAAATGTGAATAGATCTAGTGTCGCTATAGCTTATAGACATTAGAGAGATTCACAAAAACTGTTAATTGTCATTAGTTAATTAATTATAGCTAAAGATCATTACTGGTGTAGTGTTTACAATTGGCATACTACATAAATATATCCTTTAACTTAGCCTCATTTTATATTTATGCCCTCCAACTTTGAGTGTGCACAAATATTCACTTAAACTTGTATAAAGTTGAACAAATAGACACACGAACCCAATGCGTCACAATACACGTAGGACACAAATTTCCTCGTAGAACGTTTGTATCTATTTGTTCAATTTTATATAAGTTTAAGTGTCTATTTTTGCACATCCAAAATTGAAAGCATAAATGTGAAATGAGACAACCAAGTTAAAGGATATATTTATTTATCATGTCTTTATAATTTACAACATTATATATAGTCTAAGTTTGAGGAGGTTAGTGTGTGCAAAGATCTTAACCCTAACTTCGGATCGAAAGATGTTATCTTCAATAGATCTTCTACTCAAGTAAAATCATTACAAAACAATTTCGAAAGAAAAAACATATTGTGTTTTACAATTTTAACTATCAAAACTCATAGACAATGAAGCCTTAGCCTAAACCTCAAAGTAGAATTTAATCATTACGTCCTAGAAGTGTAGATGTGAAGGTTCAAAAATAAATACATTAGTTACCACATAAAAAATTGTACGAAAAATAAGTACTGGCTTTATATTTTTCTTTGTTACTCTAAAGACAATGGGGATTCATAATTTATTTATTTCAATTATTCTAAAAGAAGATGCATGAGAATTAAATATTCCAATTGAGAATTGCATTTACATTGTCCTCTAACGTTGTTCAATACAAAAGGCAAAAGCAAAATCTCTAATTTTTTTTTTTTTAAAGTAAAGTTTCAGTCGAATAATATTGAAAATAAAAATAAAAACTAGAATACTAGACAAAAGCTACGGGCCCAATAAACCAATCAATCCTAAGTGGGCCTCTACTGCAGAAAGGGCCGGACCGTCTGGATCAACAGTCGCTGTTATATGCATGGCCCATTGGGCCGCTTCCCCCAGTTGTTTGCCTTCCTTTAAAACCTAACCAAATTTATTACAATTATTTAAAATCTAGCATTTTCAAAGCCGTGCAAAT